CATAGTAACATGGTAACTAATATCATTTACCTGAACTCTCACATAGTAACATGGTAAATAATATCATTTACCTGAACTCTCACATAGTAACATGGTAACTAATATTATTTACCTGAACTCTCCCATAGTAACATGGTAACTAATATCATTTACCTGAACTCTCACATAGTAACATGGTAACTAATATTATTTACCTGAACTGAAGATTTAAAGTAAAGTTGCGAAATTGTAAATGGTCTGATTGTAGTGGAGATATTTAAAATCAGTTAACAGTACCTTTAAAAATCTTATTTTAGGTGAATATAACTATTTTGAACAGTAATGTAACACAAGTACTCCCTGATGATATTGTTGGAAGATGTCTTAAAGGAACCTTCCTTTATACTCTATATATTAATACAACGGAAAAATAATTTTTTAATTATTAAAAGTACATCATGTTGCACAGATTAGAAAGTACATCATGTTGCACAGATTAGAAAGTACATCATGTTGCACAGATTAGAAAGTACATCATGTTGCACAGATTAGAAAGTACATCATGTTGCACAGATTAGAAAGTACATCATGTTGCACAGATTAGAAAGTACATCATGTTGCACAGATTAGAAAGAATTAGAAAATTTGAGTTAGAAGAGAGCAACCCTTTGCCACACATTTTTACGAAGAAACATATTTCAAATCGAATATTTCAATTGATTTTACTTTAATTACCTTTAATGAGTTGAATTATGAATACTAATTGATTATATTTAAATTTTCATAATAGGTTTAAAGTTAATATTAAGATGGATGGAATTTATTTATTTAATTCTTTCATTTTAAAACAATGAGGACTGAGCTGGAAACTTTAGAATTAGATACTCTCTTCATACCGATTGTTTGATATGAATATCACTCCTGTATGCCGAGTCCATTAGCGCCTCATCCAATCAGGGTTCAGTCATGTGTTTCTTGTCTATTTTGAACCAAAAGAAATAGTATGGCGCTAACATATATCTTTCTATCTATTAGTATCAGTAAATGGAACTATTTACTTTTACTCAAACGATAGTGATATCCACTGTGGATACTTTTCTGCTTTTGGGATATCCCTGACATAGGATTCCAACTAAAAAAAGTTCTCTTTTTAAATGACGCGCAAAATTTCCTAGCTTCCGATCGGCTGTTTGGGATTCTGCATACACCACTCTGATTGGTTGAATTTTTTAAACTTTCATGGATATAAACAACAGATTAAAACAATATCAAGATTAACAAAAATAGAAGATCAAGCATTGATCTCGATATCCGCAATTGTAAAGTTGTCAGCTCTACTCTCATTTTCACATTATGTATTGTAAAAGGTTGTTAATATAAACTGTGTTATATATATTATATATATTATATATTACATATTATATATATTATATATTATATATTATAAATATTATATATCCTATCAGAGAATAATATATATTCAGACCAAAGCTGAATATGTTGTGCATTCTTGAAAGGTAAATAATTAATTTCAAGTTCTCTTTACGGAAACATTGAATAAGAAATGAAAATGCTCTGGTTTAGAAAAAGTTTAAGAATTGTTCTAAATGTTGCCAAGAATATTACGGATCTCACTAATTTTTAACGTTCGTAATTTTTAACAAAATATTGAAATTTCCAAAGAAACATTTGTAATTTTGGATAAAGCAATTGTATAGTCGAACAATATATTTGTAATTTTGATCAATAAATTCCTAATTTTTAACAATACATTCATAATTTTTAACAACACATTTATAATTTTGAACAATACATTCGTAATTTTGATCAATACATTCATAATTGTTATCAATACATTCGTAATTTTAAACAAAACATTTGTAATTTGGAAAGACTTTTAATTAACTCAATATGATAAAAGATGGTTAACTTCAAACAATAAGGTGCGTATTGGAATTACAATTGTCAAGTGAAATCCTGTTATTTTGATTTCTAGTTTAAATGAGTATTAATGGTTAGTTGACGGTAAACTGGTTTGTAACCTCAAAGCACTGATGAAGGATGATAAAAGTTCTGTCAAGCTTGAGATAGATTCACCCACAGGGTTTATACCTGAACCCCAGCTGGATATTAGGGTCAGCGCTTCCTCCGCATGCAGGTCAACTTTTCGTTTACAATGTAATTTTAAGTAATCTTTTTGCAAAATTTATATAAGCAAATAAAAAATGTGATTTTTTTATCGAATATTTTGAGTATTTTTGTAAAATAAGCAAAATGTGATCCCTAGTCAGCGACACTTTCTAAACAATCGAAAAATTTTCTTTATTTTATTCTGTAAAATTTAGTTTCCATATTAAATTTAATTATTAAATAAAATGACAGATTCCAATTTTTTGTCGTTAAAATAATCATATTTTGTAATAAACAATGCTAACAATATTTTTTCAGAAATATAATAATAACGCATGATTTTATGGCAGATTTATCCATTAAAAAAAATTTGATATTCTTCCTTAAAAAATGAAAAGCATATTGAACATGTTTGTTTAGTAAAAAGGTGTTCTCTGAAAATCTTAGAATTGATATTAAACAAATTTGGGATATTTCAGCGACCCCTACGAGCGCTGATAAGGTAGGATAGTTTTTTTTGCTCCTAAAATCATTCTTTAAAAAACTAAATTTAAGACCTTGATATGGAGAGAAAACACACCAGACCGGAATAAAGAGGAGTTACAGATTGTTAAACATGAATTTCAGGTAATTTTGAGAGTTAATCATGGTTCCAGGTAGTTTTGGAGTTAATCATGGTTCCAGGTAGTTTTGGGTTAATCATGGTTCCAGGTAGTTTTGGAGTTAATCATGGTTCCAGGTAGTTTTGGGGTTAATCATGGTTCCAGGTAGTTTTGGAGATAATCATGGTTCCAGGTAGTTTTGGGGTTAATCATGTTTCCAGGTAGTTTTGAGGTTCATCAATTTTGGTTCCAGGTAGTTTTAAGGTTAATCAACCTTGGTTCCAGGTAGTTTTAAGGTTAATATCAACCTTGGTTCCAGGTAGTTTTGAGGTTAATCAACCTTGGTTCCAGGTAGTTTTAAGGTTAATCAACCTTGGTTCCAGGTTCCAAGATACCAGGTTCAACCATTTACTACCTGCATTCAATCATCTTGATTATTTAAACCAAAGAATAAGTGCATTAGTGCCAAAATTTATGTTTTAGATTTATAATTTTTTGTTTCATCCACAATCTATATTTTCTAAATAATAACCAGATAATCTAGGCTTTTAATTAATAAATTAAAAATTTTAAAAATTTTATGAAAGTTGTCAACAGAATGTTGCAGGGAGGAGGCTGCTTTAAATGGAATCTAACATGTTTTACTAAAAGGCACTTGCATACACTCCATAGGTCTAATTTTCATTAGGAGACATTATGAACCCATTTTAATTTATTTAAATGTTTGCACACAAGAAAATAAAAGAATTCTCTATATCTTTGGAACCTGATGTCGTAGAGGTTGCAAAGATATAAGGATTAAAAAATTTGTGTCAAAAATCTTAGTTCCTTGTGAGTAAGGTTGACAAAATATTAACATTAAGACTATTTATCTTTTAGATAATTTATAGTGGTCCGAGTATGAATTCTGTATCTTTTAGATAATTAACAGTGGTCCAAGTATGAATTCTGTATCTTTTAGATAATTAACAGTGGTCCAAGTATGAATTCTGTATCTTTTAGATAATTAACAGTGGTCCAAGTATGAATTCTGTATCTTTTAGATAATTAACAGTGGCCCAAGTATGAATTTTGTATCTTTTAGATAATTAACAGTGGTCCAAATATGAATTCTGTATCTTTTAGATAATTAACAGTGGTCCAAGTATGAGTTCTGTATCTTTTAGATAACTAACAGTGGTCCGAGTATGAGTTCTGTATCTTTTAGATAATAAACAGTGGTCCAAGTATGAACTCTGTATCTTTTAGATAATTAACAGTGGTCCGAGTATGAAGTCTGTATCTTTTAGATAATTAACAGTGGTATGAGTATGAATTCTGTATCTTTTAGATAATTAACAGTGGTCCAAGTATGAATTCTGTATCTTTTAGATAATTAACAGTGGTCCAAGTATGAGTTCTGTATCTTTTAGATAATAAACAGTGGTCCAAGTATGAACTCTGTATCTTTTAGATAATTTACAGTGGTCCAAGTATGAATTCTGTATCTTTTAGATAATTAACAGTGGTCCGAGTATGAATTCTGAATCTTTTAGATAATTAACAGTGGTCCAAGTATGAATTCAGAGTCTGAGATTCTTGTTTTTCTACCGTCAGGTCATCTTTGCTTTTTTTTAATTTTGAAGAAAAGAATAAAATATATTTGTCGAAATCAATATTTTTTGGGACCCTCTGCTCAATTGTATTTGTATTTTGGGACCCTCTGCTCAATTGTATTTGTATTTTGGGACCCTCTGCTCAATTGTATTTGTATTTTGGGACCCTCTGCTCAATTGTATTTGTATTTNCAACGAACCTTCCAAAAATAATAAGTAGGATAAAATAGAAAAAAAATATAAAATTTTTTTTTAAAGCATCGTTTTTTTTAACCTTTTAACTACCCCCGGTCACCCATGAGTGTCCACAAAAAATAACAGCCCAAACGGTCCAGCCGTTTAATTATATAGATACATACAAAACATTTAAAATGATAACCAGAAAACGTAATGAATCATTTAATAACATAATAGTAAAACTATTTGTGATGTAACAACATCAATGCACTTCAGCATTGTTCTTATGTCGTCTTCGTATTCTAGAGTTTTCTGGTTATTACTTTTTATTATTTGTTTGTTTTTAAACATCAATAATAGTCAAAGTATTCTATTGTCCGTTAACTTCGGTTGAATATATACATTTGGCTGGTGTGTCCAACAGGAAATCAAATGTTAATTAAAGAAAACATGGTTTAACTGATCGGGCCAAACTTAATGTGTCAACTCAAATGCCCCTATACAAGGTTTATGAATGGTCAAATATAAAAAAATTTAGACATTTATTATTTCTAAAATGTTAAAATTTTAAATTTACAATTTACCAAAAGAATTGCCTAAAAGCCTAGTTTCAAATATATTCTAGATCACCCCCTTACCAATGAAGCATCTGTAGTACTTGGTGGGAATCCATGTACGGAAGAAGGAGATCTGGAATTTGTAAGTTTTGATTCTTTAAATTATACAAAATACGATTTTAGGACACCTGAGCTGAAGACTTTAGAATGGTGGATATCGGGATTAAGGCTTAATCCACTCTTTTTCTTAATCTCGAGATTAAATATTGCTTGTTCTCCTCTCATTTTTAATCTCCAGATTAATTATCCGATCAGGATAAAGGATATCCCATTCTAAAGTTTTCAGCTCTGAGCTAAAAACTTTAGAATGTGATATCCTTAATCCCGATCTGTTAATTAATCTGGAGATTAAATTCATGAGGAAAACAAGCAATATTTAATCTGGAGATTAAGAAAAAGAGTGGATCAAGCATTAATCCCGATATCCACCATTCTAAAGTTTCCATCTCGGAGCTGGGAATATTTAAATGACATATCCTTAATCCTGATCGATTAATCTGAGTATCCAATGGACACACTTTTGATTACATCGATTGAACTAATATCCGATTGAATTAAAGTCAGTTGTTCACAAGCCGGCTTTTAGAGCATTTAAGCAAATATAAATTTAATCATGTTAATATGAACTTATTTAAAATATATTTCATCATCATTTTAAACAGTAGTCTTAACTAACATTAATGACACAATCAACACCAGATAATAACCGGTTTTTCAAAAGTTAAAGAGTACATCTTAAAATACGAGTTTAGTAGACCTGAGCTGGGAACTTTAGATTAATGCTTGATCCTCTCTTTTTCTTAATCTCTAGACTAACTTAATCTTGTACTGTATCCTGAATAGTGTATAAAATTCAACAAATCAAAGTCGCGTTTCAGAAGCTAGGTTTCAGAAGCAACATGTTTCAGAAGCTAGGTTTCAGATGCTAGGTTTCAGATGCAACATGTTTCAGATGCTAGGTTTCAGATGCTAGGTTTCAGATGCAACATGTTTCAGATGCCGATAAATTTCAAATTTTGCGCGCTATTTCAGAATAATATACAGAAACGGGAAGGACTCTTAATTTTTAAAAAACCGGTTTTTGATATTTCTTTACTTTTTCCAAAAAAGTGTGGATTAAGCAAGAAATCAAAACTGGCCACATGGGATATTCGGATTAAGCAGTCGGGATTAATGGTATCCCATTCTAGAATTCCCAACTCAGGGAACTCTTGTACTCTGGATATCGAGAACAAAGCCTTAATCTCAATCTTTTGTTAAATCTACAGATTAATTAATCGTTATTTTGCAATGTAATCGTGCCTGTAGTTATAACTGAAAAAAAGAGATTATGCATTAATTCTCAAATTTAAAGTCCCCACATCGGATATTGAGATCAATCATCCAGGAATTTAAAACAAAAAACCTCGGAAGTTAAGTTTTTTAATTAAGTTTTGTAGCATAAAATTTAAATATTTAAAAAAAATTACGATAAACCTGATTTCTACTAATTCAATTCTTTATATTTGTTTAGAGAAGGATTCCACCACAACCTTCGGCACTTCCTCATCAAAATGTTGAAAAGTAAAAAAAATTATTTTTATCTTTAATTCCAAGTTCAACGTTACATACCCTTAAGACAACTTAACCATACCAACTAAATTTGAATAATCATTTATTATTTTTAAAGGGAGTGTTCGCGAAAAAGGAAAGGGGGTATAAGGCTTAATGCGATAATAAAGCGCTTTTGATCGCTACTTGTCTTACTTCTAATTGTCGCGTCTATTAGGAGAAAATTGTTAAAAACGACAAATACCGAAGAACGTAGTGTCCCTACAAATTCAGAAAGATGCAACATACGACTTAGACCGTAAAAAAATCTATTTAATTTCGAACAAATCATTCAGATATTACAACCTATAGTCATCGATTGTATTTCGCCACATTTGCATATAGTTTATTTTTCATAATATGTTTTAATTGTTATGACCTGAGAGTTACTTATAAAAACATTTATTCCCGTTTGAAGGATTTTTGTTAATGAAGACGACATTTTAATATTAGGAATGTTCGAAAACAAGTGGTAAGCTAAATATTATTTTAAAAAATAAAATCAAAACATATTATATATATTGTCTTTAGTGTATTCTGCAGTATACGAGCTATGTGCAGAGTTATCAGCTGTAAACTAGCTTCTCTCTATCCTTCAACTATATATATACTGTATTTAGTGTATTCTGCAGTATACGAGCTATGTGTAGAGTTATCAGCTGTAAACTAGCTCCTCTCTACCCTTCAACTATATATATTGTATTTAGTGTATTCTGCAGTATACGAGCTATGTGTAGAGTTATCAGCTGTAAACTAGCTCCTCTCTACCCTTCAACTAGCAACAGTATTATGTATTATCAAATAAAATAATTTAAATAAAAGAAACTGATTATTTGCCATAAATTATTTCCTATATCATGCAACCTAATGGTGTAAAATTGTGTTATTTTTAACTCAATGTATTAAACTTAGCAGAATTCATAGTTTAAAGTATTAAAAGTCTACAACGTTTTGTTGCAAAGATATTAGGATAACGTTTTCTCTTAAGGTTATCTGTTAGCTACAACTTTTCTATCGGTGGTGCGGAAAATTCCTCCCATTCAGTTTTCCAGCTGGTCACAGGGGTCATCACAGTAGATTACAGGTAAGCAATGCAGACAGGTTTTAACATTAGAAGGGACTGTTTACTGATTTAAAGTATTATATTTCACATACACGATAGCCTTTAAATTTTTAATTAAGTAAGAATGAGCAATGTTGTTGTTTTTATATTTTGAAAAAAAACGTTTTAAAAAATGTTCTATAGTCAGATTGAAAAACAAGAATATCTCCTTTATTTTTCCCCTAACAACTAGGTGTAAAGTTACTGTTGTTAATTGTTAAGGTAAATCTTTAAATGAATGACCATTTAAAATCTGCTTGAACAGAAATAAAGGTCTGTTTTCTTCTTTCAGAAACCAAGAAAGGAAAGCTGTTTCATCAACTACGTTTAAATTTTCAGCAACTACGTTTTTGGAAGAGGTATACTGATTGTCCATTTGATTTTAATTGTTACATCTACTTGTATTAGAAGTATTTATTTTTTTAGATTCAAGTTCTTTTCTTTTTTTATTCGATTAAAGTTTTGCGGATTAAATGTTTATAGAACTTATTAATTGACGGATAATCTCCGTTTTCAAAAATTTTCCCTTTGAATATTATGAAATTTTTAAATGCACCATCTTTAAGGTGAACCTATACATTGTTAAACTCTAACTTGAATTTTACAAATATAACTTAAAACTTTAATTCTTCGTCATTTTAATTTTTTATGATAAAAATTACAAAGTTTTTTTACTGAAAGACCCTTCAAACTGTGGATTAGGTTTCACTTACTGTTAAAAGTATTTGCTTTTAACAAATTTTAAAAGCATCTAAGTGTAAAAAAAAACTATGTAAACATGGAATCAGCTTTTGAAGACTGAACACTTTCCATGTACCACTGAAAACTGATTTTTTTTCCTTTACTAAATTTTTTGCAAAAATATTGTTTTTTACTAAATGTTGAGACCTTTTTCATATATTTGTAGGTTTTAAACTACTATGAACTCATTATGGCCTTGGTTGCCTGTATTGTCCTCATAGTTCTTATCAACTTCGTTTTCAAGTACTTTGATGTCTTCAATAAAGTTAGAATCTACAAGGTGACTTTTTCCTGCATTTATTTATTATTTTCGTCGCCCCAGGCCAAATTCAAAAGAATTTGAGCCAGGTCTCAAATTTTAGATGCGGCTCAAACATGGTTGGTTTCACTTGAAATTGTATTCAGTGTTTCGAGATTTAAGCCGGTGCTCAATTGGAACCAGTTTATGGTGGTTCAGCAAGGCGGTTTAAATTCTTCAAATTCGGCCACTGATGAAGTAAATCCTTGAAATTTTATATTTTACTGTTTGACCAAAGATCAAAGATTTAGGATTAAAATATTTGATTTCCACAATCAATTTATGAACTTGGGAAAAATTTGGGAAAATAATATTTAGAGTTCACCTGTCTTTAAGTCTAATTTAAGACTCAATATTTTGGATCTTAATTGCATCTAATTTTCCACAGCGTGGCGTTGGGTTTTTCAAATCAATTAAGTATTGTATTTGGCGGATTTTCATGGTTAGAATTGGTTAATTCAGGGGATTTGATTAGAATAATAATCAATATTTAGACAAATTCTTCCCTAAAATCTACCAAGGTCGGTTTTATGTTCATTGGGCCTAATTTCTTAATGTTGGGTGGAAGGCCTTAAACCTGAGTCGAAGCTTTTAAATCGCGGGCTCATGAATTTAAATTTTGATCCCAAGAAATGACATGTTTTAATTTTCAGAATAAACATCCTGATGAAGGTCTTGAACTAATGGATAATAACGAAGAAATCATCAAGGATGAAGTCGATACAGCTGGAGTCTTGTTGAGAAATTAAATAAAGAAATGTAAAAGATATAAAGTTGAAAGTTTTATTTTTATGCTCTTGACTTGCTCAAAACGGGTTCGTCTTTTTAAGAATAAAATTTGATATCTTAAATAAATATATCCTAGACATTGTCTTTTACCCTGCTAAACTAAACAACTAATGTGTTGTAAATCAAAATTCTCTTGCAAGAAAGAGAAGAAACAAACTGTGTTTGAAAGAAATGGGATTATAGAAGTTCTTTAAATTATTTAACATCGTTAAAAGGATTTCACTGGAACACATAACTCTCTTGGCAAATTTAATATTTAACACAGACTTTTTGACCTCGGAATTTTTTGTGGAAACCCATTGATTTTTTTCTTACTTTAAAATTCAATTCAAAAATTGATGAAAATCAGGCTGGGGTTCTCTTTTCCCATGGAAGGTAAAGTTTCAAGTGTATTCAGTATAAAAGAGAATTTGCCACGAACTCAAATTTTAAATCCCTATTTGTTTATACCTAATGATGAAAATCTTTGATATTTCAAACTTAGACTATTTTATTTAACAATTGATAACGTTTAATTGTAGTTATCCATAAGAAGCGACTTGGGTAATTATGCAATTGAGACAAAAAAGACAATTGACAGAATTATTTCTTTTAAATGAATTTTTGCAATTCAGGACACCATTGCAATTAAACTGTTACTGTTTCTATTGATGGTCATTGCACTTCAATTCTTACTGTTTCTATAGACAAAAAATGCATTTTTTTCTCTATCAACTTTTTTCTAAGAAAATCATTTATAAATTTCAAAAATTCTATGTTTTTGTGAATGGAAATAAATTAATGTATGGAAGGGAAGATGGCATCTGGAAACTAAGTTTAAAGTTTTCTATAGTTCCATAAAAACTGTTGAGATGATCTCTTCTTAATCAAGTTTATTGGAACCAAACTTTACAGAATATTTTTAAGTAAATATTGGATTAAGAAAAGTTTTTAATTTTCTGGAATAACTGGGATTTTTGATGAGTTCGACTTGAAGAACTAACAAACTCTGCGAAAATGAAAACTTTAAGGTTTTATAATTTCAAACTCCCCACGGACATTATGCCCCCTCCATGTGACCCTCTATTTTAAGAGGAAAAAATCAATTTCAGAGAGAAAACATGAATATCTCCATAAATCTTGATCAGACAAAGCTTTTGACGGTACTGCTGTGAATTTAACACTCCAGTCTAAAAATGGAAGGTCACTTACAGTGCACTGACGATAATTTGCATTTCAATTCATAAAGATCACTCTTTTAAAAGATTAAATATCTAATTTTTATGGAAGTTAAAGTTTTGAAATTGAAAGACATTTAAAAAGAATAGTCTCTCCCCCCTGTCGTCTTTTTATGGTGAAGGTGTACACTGTACACAATCTCGGCCTTTTAAAGTTTGTATACATATTTGATTCAACTTCTTACTCCCTTTTATACACATAAATCTATAGAAAGGAAAATTGTTACAAATGATATTTTTACATTAAGAAATTTGTTTCACATTGAAGCGTTTGAAAGTTGAAACGATTTGTAATCCCTATTGTTAGTTCAGTTTTCTCAATAGATTTAACATTTTGCAGTAAATGCTACACAAACAAACTAACTTCAGTTTCTTGAGATTTTCAAAATATCTAGAAAAGTTGAACCTAAAATTTAATTTCAGTTCTAATATAAGTTTCTTCATAAAATTATGTTTTCTTCTAACTTGAAGAAAATAATGTTAAGTTTAAACAAACTTTGTTGATAAATAAAACATTTTTTTCAACTTTCAACAATTTAAAGATATTGGAGGGATGAAAACATGTTTTATATATGCTAAAAGGGACTGTATATGAAATTTTTAAAAAAAAATATACAAAGACGACAATTCCTAACTCACAACAATTCCTTGTTTGATCAAGTATGAATTATAAATCCATGTTTTTATTTCAGAAAACAGTTAACGTTCATGTTAGTTGTGATTTTAATTTAAAATAAAGGCATTTTTTGTTTTAAAATTCTTGAAGAATAAATGGTGTTAACGTTAAACTAAAATGTTTAAGAGATTATAATCTGAAAACCCGCACTAATGAAGGATTTAAAAATTTCTAATTTTCAAAATCTAAAATTATAATTCTTTTTATTCAGAACTTTTATTTTATTGAAGAGTGTAGAAAACAGATAGATTGACTGTTCAAGGTTTCAGACGGTGTTGGGTTCGTGAACAGACATGGGAGTGTTCAGGACTGGATAATTCAAGGATTCAGAATGTGTGAAGGGTAGGAGAACTTATTAAGGAGTGTCCAGAACCGAACTATTCAAGGATTTAGAATGTGTGAATAATTGGCATCATGTTCTTTCTTTTAGGGATAAAATTTACTAGATTTTGTTATTGATTCTAAATTATGATTCACAACGGTACCCTCAAAATCCCAATCCTATCAATAATATTGAAAATTTTCATCGGTTTTAATACTAAAAAGTGTTTAACTATGATAAATTCTGATGTGTTTCTGCAGCAATAAATATGAAAATAATTCTTCTTAGCAGAGAAATTACAAATAAAAAAGGCCAGTTTTTAAAAATATGGATATCTAATAAATACTTAGCAGTCAAATCTTTAGAGGGTAAAGTTGTGAATCAAACGTTTCATTCTATCAATGGAGGGTGACTTGAAATAATCGTTTACAATCTCTCCTTCTCTCTTCTCTTCTCTATCTATTTTCCCTATCCTCTCTCCCTACTCTCCCCCTTCTCTTTCCTCTTCTCTCCCCTTCTCTCTTTTCTTTTCTCTCCCCTTGTCTCTCCCCCTACTCTCTCCCGTTCTCTGTCCCCTTTTCTCTCCCCTTCTCTCTATCCTCTTCTCTCTGCCCTTCTATCCTCTTCTCTCTACCCTTCTCTCTCCTCTTCTCTCTCCTCCTTCTCTCTCCCTCTCTTTTAAAAATATTGTCCCCAATTAAAAAAAAACATTTTTAAATTCCACTAATACATTTGCCCCTAATTGTAAAAAATGCCCTCATTCAAAAAAATTATTTCATATACCACTAACACATTTGCCCCAATTGGGGAGAAAAATCTCCCCCCAAATTGGGAAAACAATGTCCCCAATCAAAAAAAAAAAAAATCGATTCCACTAACATATTTGCCCCCAATTGCCCCCAATAGTAAAAAAATTCCCCCAATTGAAATAACATTTTTAAATTCCACTAACACATTTGCCCCCAATTACCCCCAATTGTAAAAAAGCCCCCATTTAAAAAAGACATTTTCAAATTCTGCCCTCAATAATTTTAAAATTGCTCTCAAAATTTTTCAACTTGCTCACAATCTTACTTTGATTGCCCCTAATATTTATAAAATCGCCCCAAGAAAATTTAAAGTTGCTCCCATTACCAAATGCCCCCAATCATAGAAAAATGCCCCTTTTCCACGAACATTTGCCCCTGTAAAAAGTGTTATTTGCACACAGTAGAAACAAATTCTGACCCCAATTTTTCTTTAAAAGTATATTTTTAAAACAATTTGCCCCATTTCTTTCAAATTTGTCAATCTCAAATGGGATTTAGAAAGGAATTATATAGACCCACTTAACTAAATTTAAATAAAACTCACTAAAACTTTATTGAATATATGAAACAATAATAACAAGCACATAAAACTTAAACTAATACAAAACTTGAATTATTACATTCAGAATGATTTTTTTTATTACTTCTAATATTACATTTTGATGTGCATTATGCGACTTTAAATCAGAATGGTCAGAATTTAGTCAGTCTTTAAGCTATATATCTATACATCTATACATCTATACATCTATACATCTATACACCTGAAAATCTTTTCTCAAGACTTTTACATGCCAATATATATATTTCAGAAATATTAGATAACCCTTAGATTTTCTTTATTTGAAGAGTTTATTTACGGATTCAAGGAAGGGGGGGGGATAGCCCCCTCCCCCCTGAGATTTCAAAATATCTTCTCAATAGCACTTAACAGAAAAAAAACCCTAGTGCAAAACAGGAAAAAATTCTGTCTTTAAAAAAATGTTCCCCTGCGGCACGTTTTTTTGTTCCTAAATCTGGATTTTTTTGTTCCGATATTTTAAATGAACTTATTGATTAATTAACCCTGTATAGGCTGGTGTTTGGGGGGAGAGGGGGTTCAAACTTTACTGAAGGGACTTTTTTAGGGGGTGGGAGGCCCAGATTCAGACCCCCAGTATCTGTGGGGTTAAACTCTATTCTGAACACAGATATTGATTCCGTTTTTTGGTCTAAGAATGAGATCTGCCAGTAGAGGAATATCCTCTGGTTTAACAGAACACTAAAACAACTAAGATTAATGTTATGAAAACAAAATCTTAATTACCTTGTTAAATGGATTTTAATTTACCTTAATATTAAATTTACGAATTACAGATGATAGGAGAACTTTTAGTTCTTGCATTGCAAACCTGGAAAAAATATGAATTCTTCAATCTTTTAACTAAAAATATTTAATTGAAATATAAAACTATAGAGTAGGAAGACGCTAATAAAGTTAGTGAAAATAGTTTTACATAGGTAGTTTTTACATAGGTAGTTTTAAATTGGTAGTTTTTAAGAGAAATGGGCCTGGGCAGACTGCATAATTCCTGTGTTTTATTTTCATAGACAGTTGTCTTCATTTTCAACACTTATATGGGTTTCAGACTCTCAGTGTATGTACAATAATACCCAGGAAATAGATATGGCCTTGAGCTTTCTTGAAAATAGAGATACTATCTGTAGTAAAGAATTTCTGAACTTTTGTAAAACTGTAGGGTAAAGCGTTATACTGTCTACTGTCTAGTGTCTAGTGTCACTGTATAGTGTCTAGTGTCACTGTCTAGTGTCTAGTGTCACTGTCTAGTGTCTAGTGTCTCTGTCTAGTGTATAGTGTCACTGTCTATTGCAGCTAGTGTCACTGTCTAGTGTCTTATGTCTAGCATCACTGTCTAGTGTTTAGAGTCTATGGCATATTTTATATAGATTAGTTCATAAGTTTAACTAAAATTATAGTTGACGTACTTCTGACCAATACAGTTCCTTGGTCCAGCAGAGAAGGGTACATAGGAGTATGGATCTCTTATCTCTT